CCCCTGGTGGACACTAGAGAGAATGCAGCTTTAAGACACTTCCGCATCGGCTTTACTTGGCAGAACGAGAGGTTGCTGTCTGGGTTATACATCGCTACGAATCAAAGCCAACATTTCCATGAGGAGGTTCCACAAAGAAAAAAAACAGATGTAAATGTGTCGGCCCTTTTTAATTTATATCCGTACTTTGACAGCATACGACTACCAGGAATACTGATATATATATATATATATATATATATATATATATATATATATATATATGTATATGTATATGTATATGTATATATATATGTATATGTATATGTATATGTGTTTTTCTTTTGTGTGTAGTTAAACTACACCCGTCCCGGCCTCCCCAACTTCAGCCAGGAGCTTCTAGAGACCTGGAAGAACCAAGTGAAGGAGAAGGGCTTCATCTGCTGCATCAACGAAGTAAGAACACCGGCTGTTTTAACGCGTCTCCTAAATACAGATTCAGAGATTTGTCTTGATATTGAGCACCAGGTTCATGATATTCCGGCTGTTGATCTCACAGGACTGTGGATTGAGTTTGTTCTCTCCGTGTTATTTCTGTTTGTTTTGTCTCAGAACTGTGAAGCGGTGTATTCCAGTGTATCGGGACTAAAAGCACACCTTGCCAACTGCAGCCAGGTATAAAAACCACCAACCGGGTTACATTTGTCTCTGTGTCTACTGTAGTAGAAATAACAACACGCACATACACATAGAACTTTAACCCACATTTATATAAATAAACTCATATAAATATGAGTTATTTAGAAGAGGCATAAAGGACGTTACAGACTTCTCTCACCTGATTCGGGAAAACTATATATTTAAAATAGCTGAAAATGTTGTTATTATTGCACCAACACATGAAAGCAATACAAACTAAAATGTACGAGAAAAATGTTATATAATGGCTGCAGATTCACAAAAGCATGTAGTGATGTAGACGTTGTTCTGAGCTACATAACACGTATATATACTGTGTGTGTGTGTCTGTGTGTGTGTCTGTGTTGCAGGGTGGTGGAGAACTGGGAAAGTACACGTGTCTGATCTGTCAGAAGGACTTTAGCTCGGAGAGCGGTGTGAAGTACCACATCAGCAAGACACACTCACAGGTGGGTCAGCCTCAGCGGTGAACTTCACAAACCTCTATGTTATTTATGATGACTGAAAGTATTCTCTCATAGGCATATTTCTGTTAACATAAAATAAAACCCTACAGAAGATAACAAGGTGTTACGCCAGTGTTGTGCAAACAAGTGCATTACTTGTGGGAACAAATTCACACAGATCTTGTCAACACATCAGAAATATGTGTAAAACAATAATTTGTTTTGTTGATACACACATTTTGTTGCCACTAAAAATTCCCACACATAAAAGCCAGGTGCCCAAAATGTTTAAAATCTGAAATGATTAACGTCTTATGGGGCTTCATATTACTGTATTCAGACGAGGTGGCTTACCCCAACTAATGGACTCTTCGCTATGCCCCGCCCCTTGCATGCAGACTGCCAATCATAGCGCAGCATCAGCCAGCTGTGACCAGGGTCCGATATACGTTACGTTTCCACGTAAAACATTGTGTAGCTAACATTAGCAGCTAGCGTTAGCATTTCTATGCTATGCTAGCTACTGACATTGTACTGAATGGACATATCCTTCTGTCTGCGTCTCTCTAAAATCACTTTTTTCCCGAAAATGTAGATAATATTTATTCAAAGTGAAGTAAGTGACAGTGTGGGCTCCATGGTAACGTAGCTCTGACAGCTTGATAGAGTAGCAGTGGGGGCGGGGCTTAGCTAAAGGTAGACACAGTAGAAAAGTTATAGTTATATTTGGGATGCTAATTTTATTTTATATTCTGATCGATAGACGACCCTCCTTAACTGATCGTTAACAGTTGACCAACTAGACGGCTGGAAGGGGTTAGCCCAGAAGTTAGCAACAATTTACAGGTGCACTTAAGGTGGCCTGACCCTTAAGGTGGACCAGTGCTATCCTCCTTTTTGGTGCGTTTCCCCACGAAAACCAACAACACGTGTCAATTTCTGCTCGTTACACACATGCGGTCTTTTCAAAATATACTTCCGTCTTCACAGGAAACTCAGTCAGGTTTAGGCAACAAAAATACTTGCTTAGGGTTAGGAAAAGATCGTCTTATGGGTTAAAATAACCACGGTAAGTGCCGTTACTGAAGTACGCAAGTTACGTGACAAACACACCGATTGACTTCTCGTTTCACACGAGGAACAAACGGCGGTTGTATTCTGGATGAGACCGGCCTGACTTGTGAGTTCTATCTCCTCAGAACTGGTTTCGAGCAGCGGCCAGCCAAGTGGCCTCCAGCACGAAGAGCAAAGCGCTGGAGAACAACGGGCTCAAAGCCGAGGTGAGGAACGGCGCCACCACCACCGGCAAGAAGAGGGGCCGCAAGCCCAAAGAGCGCCCCCCTGTGGCCGAGCCTCTCCACACACAAACTGAAGCGTCGCCCGCCACTCAAAACTCAACCCCCGCCGTGACCCCCTCACAGTCCCCCGCCCGGATCCCCGACCCAACGGACGGTGCCAATCCGGGCCCAAACAGACAGCCCGTGCTCTGCGCCGCCAGACGAAGCAAACCCTAGAGGGCGCGGTTGTCAGAGAGGACGCTCGCTGTAAATGTGGTGACAGGAAGCTCAAAAAGACCTTTGTACCTCCGCAGGGACTCGGCACCGAGGAGCTAAATCAACCCTTAAGAAGTAAAACATTTAGTACAGACTTTTTCCAGAGTGTCTACCGTTATAAACAACACTCTTGTAACGGTAGCGTTTTATTTCTTCATTCCGCTTTTGTCTCCTTTTTTTTTTTTAAAGGCTCACATTTGGGTTTCTGCACTCACAGCGGGGGGGCGTCGGTAGTAAAGATGGCAGCGTTTTCTAAACGGATGCAGATTCTCTCTGCGATGTTCATGTTGTGTTTGAGAGGTTTTAAAAAAGAAAAGGATATTCTATTAGCATGGTGAAGTCATTTAATGATAGCTAGTGTTTTCACTTCCTTCTTTTCTTCCCACAGATATACTGTACTGTGTACATAAACAATATCTATATCTATATATCTATATACTCAAAGCAATGATGCCATCTGTCCTTTTTAAAGCCTGACACGTCCAATCGGATCATGAGCAGTCAGATTCTATTTCTTTTTGCAGTGTGTGCTGTAGTGCAATGAACTTGATTTTCCGAATTTCTTTCTGGTTTTACTTTTCTTGTTTGTTTTTTTTACTTTTCATGTTTCAAGTAAGCAAATGTCACATAAGCTAAAATGTTGGTCAGTTCTTAATCAAATTCCCGTCTGTTTTTCCTGCAGCTATGACATTTGATTTTGTTTTTTAATCTGCATCACATGGCGATGAAAGGTATCTGGTTTTTTGACGAAGTGTGAAAAGATTATTTCCACAGTTCTTTTACG